TACTGGTACCCATTTTTGCAATCCGCAAGGACCTCACTACAGCTTTCTGTATGTTCACATTTTAGCCAAATAGTTTGTGAGACCTATTTTTTGCAAAATGTAGACGATTCGTGAAAATTAGGTCTTCGTGAAAATTAATTTGTTTCCAGTATACAGTGGTACTAGTTTACTTAATTTCTCGTGACGGGCATGAAGGGGGCCAGATGGAAGGCGGATCATTATAATAAGGGTGACGAAGTTTATGCCACAATAGGCTGGGACACATCACAACAGATATAGTAGTCGGTAAGTCAGAGTCATATAGGATCACAAGGACACTCATTGTTATCTCTGTCTCTTGTGCTCCGAAGGAAAGAGCTAGATTTTCGTCACCCAATACTGCAAGCTTAGTGGCAGTGCAGCAGCCGCCCGTCGCCCCGCCCGCCGCCTGCCTCCCCCCCCCCCCCCCCCCCCATCCGCCGAGGGGGGGTCACGTTTCAGCTGCAAGACCGCAACTTTATGATAATGCTAAAAGCTCTGCTAGTTAATATTCGTTGTATATGATGAGTGCAAAAACAGCATAAGAGGTATATAAGGTAAAATTGTACAAAATCAGAATAGGAAGACCAGGATAAGACGGAGCGCTCTGTCCTATTCTTGCCCTGCCTTGTGGGTGAAAACGATTCAATGCAGTGGGAAAAATGAAATATTACTGCTAAAGTCAGACGTCATGTAACATCTGCTTTGTTCACACTTCATTTTGATTTCTTTTGTCTAATTTCCACGACTTACAGATCCCAATCTTTAGGTTTGAGGCTTATGCTAATTGGATTCGAATAGGTTTGGTGATCAGTTCGAAGTGCAGTTTTTTAGCTGTCTCTCATCAATGATGCTTATATTAACAGTGCCTGAACGAGGGCAGGCTGCTACAGTCGCTGCTGCTGCAGTCACTGCTGTTCCAGTCAGTGAGCCGCATCTGTTTGAAGTCACTGATGGCAAGGTAAATTAGGAACTTTTTTTCACAAGATTAGCAATTCTAATGTTGCGATGGCAATAGTGTAGATCAACAAAAAAAAATATGAAAGACGTTTACAATTCTCTGTAATGTAAAATTAGAGCGCAGCTCTTGAGGAGGGGAGGGGAGGGTATGTCCCTGCTCCCCCTCCATACCCTTTCCTCCTCCTCTCCTGCTTCCCTCCCATTAATCAGGAAATTTCCGCTCAATTTCCCCCTAAATTAAGCGAAAATTTACCCGCTAAATAAAGCCGGGAAATATTCTTCTTAAATTCAGCGGGAAATTTACCGAAACTCTCCCGCTAAATTCAGCAGGGAAACTTAATTGGTGTTGAGGCCACGTGATGTCGATTTCCCCGTTAAATTTAGCAGAAAAATTTCCGTTACATTTTTTCTGCTAAATTGAGCTAGACTTCAAGTGTGACGTCATTACGGGAAAGGTCTCATAATGCAACACGCGTTTACGCCAATGCCGACGCCGCTCAACCCGGAAACGGGCGTCTAAAAGCTGCACTTTAAAAAAGTTACCCAAGCTTGACTATCCTGTCAAAGCCTTAGAAGCACAAAATGTGTCAAGCTCTACCATACACATGATGTGCGTGCTGTGCATATGGGGATTGCTGGGCACAATGTTCATGGCTGCTCAGCCTCATCTTCTGCCTGCCTCTTGCTTCGTGCATTCTTCACTCCCATCCGCTAAGGAAGAGTAAGAACGCATACCTACTTAAGCCTTGCACGCTCCATTTATTTCTAATCTTACGTGACATGCGATACGTAACCTTACACTACAGTAAAACCTCGTTATAACAAAATGGGATATAACAAACTAATGGATATAACAAAGCAATCATAATTCCCCTTGCTTGCTAATAGTATGGAGAAATGGACATTGGCTATAACAAACTAATGGTTATAACGAAATAACTACGACCGCTCCTTCAACTTTGTTATAACGAGGTTTTACTGTATTGGTTATCATTTTGTAATCATGCTGGCCTACTTAGCACTTGCATGATTTAATTAGGCCTGAACTTAGGTGACACATGATCCCGTAATCTCCGTGATTAGGTAACTTATGTGGTCATATAATGTTACGTGATCATGTGCCATATTCAGAAATTTGGCAGTGCTGCTAGTGCTCCCCTGAAAAAGAAAACCGTGGATATAAAACCCCGCTCTTGGAAGCGGCTATGAACTCTTGCCGATGGCAGAGTGGTTAAAGCACCGCGCTCCAAACTGTGGGCACATGGGTTTGAATTCAGTCGAGAGCTACCAATAATTTTAGTTCCAATTTATATTCAATTTAAAGGGGCATTATGTGTAAATGGGAGGAGAAGGCTGAAAGGGGGAGATGGCTGCTGGTCCCTGTGGACGGAACCTAAAGCGATATGACCGACACACTCTGCAATGGCCTCCGGTCGGTGTAGATGCAATGTGATCTCTGCCCAGTGCTCTGAATGTCAACGTGAGGAGATTCATCAAAGCGCGAATAAACGGCGGGAGTAACTATGACTCTCTTGGTTCCCCTTGTTTACGTACCGCCATACCAGGTATGGCACTGCATAGATTGTTGGCACTGGGCACGTCATCGCATCCTGCGTGCGCCGTGGCCTTGCAGCTGCCGCACATGGTCGACTTGAAAGACTGACTAGAACGGTCGTTCATCTTTAAGGGCAAGGTGCTTCGATCTAGGGGTGCTGTATCCAGGTTTTGGGCGAGAGAGTGGCACAAGAGTGCAGACGGTGCTGCCCTGAAGCAGTGCTCACGTGTACCGTCTTCGCAGGTGTGGGTTGGAAAAGGTACACGTCCGATGAATGGAAAGAGGTTCATTGATTTGGTAAAGACGAGGGCAAATGCGCTTCCTCACATGACTAGGACTAAAAGGGGTCGGGACGTCTTGACTCGTCGGGCCGGTTGTGACTCCGCGGAGTCACTGGGACACATTACGCAAAATTGATTCTGCACGCACAGTGCCAGAATCAAACGACATGATAGTTTAGTGCAGTATGCTCCTGGTCATCTGAAAGAAAAGGGATGGGAGGTGCTGGTAGAACCCGAGTGCCACACCGCAACACAGAAATATGTGCCAGACCTCGTTATTGCAGGAGGTAGTCAGATGACTGTGGTTGATACACAGGTGGTGGGTACGTATTCCACCCCAGATGCCGCACATGAGCGGAAAGTGCAAACTATAGTGTTCCAGAGCTTCTGGATATTATTAAAGGGGCCAATAGTGTTGCACCGGTTGTGACTAGTTTGACTATCACATATATATCAAGTGTTTGGTCGCCAAAAAGTGCTGCAGCTCTTACCAATCTTGGGTTTGGTAGACAGGATTTTAAGGTATTGACTATACTTTGCCTTCGGGGGGGGTCAGGTGCTTTCGTCGGCATCAGCAGATGACCTCCGTGGTGCACGGGCGATGAAGCGCCCCGGCGGTTGTGTGTTGCCATGGGGCTATTGGTGGGTCCCTCTCCCTTGGAGAGGATAAGGACTTCCAGACTTCATGCCAAAGATCAGCCTGATGCCTCTGCGAAGGGGTGGGCGAGGAAACGATTTTTGTGCACAAGTCCTACTCGTTAAAAAAAAAAAAAAAAAAAAAAGCCAAATGCCTTGGGTATTTTGTGGGTAAACAGAAAGTCAGCTTCGTTTCGGCTGCGTTTGGTTAGCGAGCCGAGTTCCCGGCGATCGCGCCTTTGGCCAGGTCCGCACGCCTCCGCGACTATTGCGTGCTCCCGGACACCGCCGGGTACCCCCCGCTGCTCTTGGAAGATTCTCAAGTCCGCCAGCGCAGTTTCAGCACCTCTCCAAACGTGTGAGCAGCCGGCCGCTGAGGCTTTCTTCACCCCTTAACGGTCACTCGTTTTTTGGCTGCTGGAGTTAGTGCTAGGCGCTAGTGGACCGCTGGTTCCTACACTAAACATTTTTTTTTTTCAGTCTCCGTGCGTCGAACCACGCACAAAAGTCCCTGGTCCCACTGCCATCCTTTTTTTTTTCTCGTGGCAGCTCTGCCGGTTTCCAGTTCGAACTTTGCACGCGAACTGGGAGCGCATGCAACTTTGTTTAGTTGCGCCGGCCATCAACAGAGGGCAATACGTTCCACCCGTGGATTTCACCACCTCTGTTAGACTAGCAGCAGAGAAAAACGTCTTTTCACTTTTCTTTTCTTTCTTTTAGCAACATTTGTAGGTTTTTTGTTCGTAATCAAGCGCAGTTCTGCACTTTGGCGCAATAAACATGGTTTTTGGGTTGTTTTTTTTTTGTGCTTCGGCATGCAGCCCTGTGGATCGGATCTACGCTTTGGGGCTACGCAGGGCACCACTAGCTGGTTTTCACTACATGTAGTGGCGTAGTCTGCAGGACTAGTATAATCTAGTGCTCTAGGGAACTTTGTACCCTTTGAACAAGTTACTGTGGCCTGTACAGCACAGGCCACATTACCAGGCTCTCCCTCTCGGCCTCACAGCCTACACTTAAATACAAATACCCTGTGTCGCAAGCGGCTGGGGGAATAGTGCTTCATATTTTTTTTTCCTATTTATTTCAGCATGTCAGGGACTCATCCATCACCTAGCGTGTTAGCAAACCTTTGAGAGGCTGTATCCCTCAGAGGAGATTGTCTGCCACCTGTGCGACAAACGACTAACTTCTCGCATCTCTCTGGGGGGCACTACGAACATGTTCATAGTTGTCACTTCGTACGGAGGTGCTTCTATTGCCTCGCCAAAACGTACACCAAGAGCACCTCCATGTCGTCTCATTACACAAGGTGTCGGAAGAAACCATTAGTATCGCCCACTTCAACCGTAGTGACGAACGCCGACTCACACAGTGTGGCCAGCAACGAGCTTCCGCAGGCTTCCACTCCTTCCCCTGCAAGTCACACCGAGGAGAAGGAGCACCCAGAGTTCTCCCGGGACTCCAAGAGGGCAGACATGTCGATGCCCTTCACAACCAGCACCCCTGCTTTGCGTCTCCCACCAGCAGGTGACTGGACCACGGAGGACGTCAGGACTTTGGCGGTCCAAGAATTGTCGATGCCCGCCAAGATGAAGTTTACCAACAAAGAACTCGCCAAGGGGTACGCAGGGGTACCTTGGCAAACCATCAAGGGCATCAGGGGGCGGAAGTTGTACAGGGACTTGCTACAGCAAGAACAGCTGCGGAGCAGGTTACCTCGGCCGGACTCCAGGGTTCCTGCACATGGTGAGCCCCCCACTGCCACTCCAGGGGGACCACTGCCATCAGTGCAAGATTCCTCCGGCCTGCAGACGGACATACCCTCATCACCCCTCACCACGCCAAGACCACAGCGGTGAAGCGAGAAGTCCATACATCATTCTCCAACCCCGGTCACCCCCCGAGATATCCCCCCTACACCGGAGGCAAGGCCCTGGACAGAGAGGGACACTCATGCACTCGTGCTGTGCAAGCTCCAGGCTTCTCTGTGCATGCGTAGTGACGAAGAGCTCGCTGCATTGATGCCAAGAAGAACATGGCAGAGCGTCCGGGACTACCGTCTGATGCCCCAGTGCGCAGAGGCGATGCGCAGGGAGCTCGGCTCGCGACGGGGAAAGGATGTCTCACCCTTACTCCGAACTTCATCCCTTTGTGGCCCCTCGCCAGACACCCCGCCAACTGTCATCGTTCCTGGTCCCTTTGCTAAATCCATCATCGCAGAGGTCACACGTACATTGGCACCGCAAACTCTCTTCCACCAGCAGAGTTCAACGCGCGGTGGACCGTCTCGGAACTGACGGCACTGGCCAGGGCAGAGATCACCTACATGGACCACCCTCATATGAACCTTGCTTTTGCCAGGGTATTCACCACCCAGTCCTCACAGGGAATCACAGGGCAGCGAAATACACGCCATTACAAGGAGATCCTGGAGACCTTCAAGGCGGCGGCACACAAGCAGCCGGTTCCTATTCAACCGGTCCGCGTTCACGACGCCGGATCTGCCTGGGGGCGTCTGCAGCCCGCACCAGGAACCCCTGTCACCATCGCTCAAGGGTTGCTGGACCCCATCAAGATAGGAGAGGACCTGGGGAGAGGGGAGGCACCGAGGGCAGCAAGAAAAAGAAGCGTCGTCTAGCCAAGAACCGTAACCAGCGCCGTAACGAACGCTATGCAGAACATCAACGGCTGTACAGTCTGGGGCCTAAGGTGCTCGTCGACGAGTTGGGGCTGGATTGGGCTGACCCAGCAGTCCTCTTCTCGGAGCTCCACCGGGTCTACGACCTTCTCATGTCTACACCATCAAGACCGGTTGACGGGTTCATAACATCCGAACAAGTACTCAACGTAGAGGTGGAGCCGTTCACCGAAGGAGAGCTCCAAAGAGTGCTCAAGAACACCGACGCAAAGACTGCCCCTGGCCCGGACGGCCTTACCCTGAACGAGGTTTCCAGATTCCACCAGCCATTCTTGCCATCATTTTCACCAACTGGTTGGCCTTCGCTATGCTTCCCGAGGACCTCAAGGTGGCCAAGAGTTTTCATACCCAAGTCCCGCTCGGCCACTACTGGCGGAGACTTCAGGCCCATCACCATCTCATCCATCCTACTGCGCATCTACACAGGGGCGCTGCTCCGACGGTTCGCGCAAGATCACGTCTTCCACGACCTCCAGGGTGGATTCGGCGACGACAGGAGAGCTTCATCCAACATCAGTCTTCAGGCCCTCATGAAGGCGAGGAAGCAGGCTCGACAGAGCTTCTACAGCCTGAGCCTCGATGCCTGCTGTGCCCCGTCTGCGGAGTGCCGGAACTGCACCACCCCATCCACCTGGCGGGCGCCTTGCACCAAGCTCGCGTCGCCGCGGACTGGGCTCGCCGAGCCGCACCACCTCCTGCTGCACCTCCGGCAGCTCCCCGCCCGTTGAAAGTCGCGGAGGCCATCCGGGTGCTCCGCCGATTCCGCCCGGATCTGCTCCGCGACCCGGCCCACGAGGAGGCCATCTTAGACCTCGACCTCTAAGGGGGAGAGGTGTGGGGCGCTCGGCCCGCCACACGGCGGCCAAACCGGCGACTAGCGGGGGGGCGGCTCCGGGTGCCCATTGCATACGCACGGGCTTAAAAGGGGTGGCCAGTGCGGCCGACAGGAGTTGCTGTCCCGAGTCTTGGCCAGGTCGGGATCCAGGAGTCATGGTAATAAACCCCGCTTGACCCCAAGGAAAGAGTCGTCTGATTGATCACCTGCGGCGGACGGCGGAAGTCGAACGCTACAACACTCCAGAAATTGTGCCACAAAGAGTGCCGCAATGATTACGAGTATTTTACCTACTTTTCCTTCGTTCAGCACGTTCCAAATGGAAGTGTAGCTTTTCAACAATTATTTTTCACAATGGCATGTTCTTTAACAAAGGAAAGTGGTACACGCATTTATTATGGGCATATAACTGAAAATCAAAGCAGAATACTCATTATGGTCTTTATTTCCAAAAAGACAAGATACTCTGGGTGCCTTGCAAGACTAGGCAGGTAGACGGGTCCGTATGGAGGAGCGTTTGCCAGCCAGCCAGGGCAAACACTACAGCGTACCGAAAACACAAAATCGCTACATTGCGCGAATAAACTTTAAACATTAATTCATAGACGTTGCAACATCCACGAAACACATACAGGCCGTGGTAATGAACCACTAAGGTTGAAACCAGCTACGCTTCGAACGGGCTCGCCGCCGGCAGAAGTGGTCCGGGATGGAACGCCAGTGCCACCTGATAGATTCTACACAAAGTGCCTCACATGGAGGCCGCCGCTTTTTCCACTACCCGCCTTATTCTGGTTCGCTATAGCTCGTCTGCTCACTGTGCGATGACGTAAAGGCGGGCCCTGCAGAAATCACAGGCTTGAGGAGAGCGGAGGCCGGCGCAGCTTTGAAACCGGCTGCCGTGGCCCGTGTCTGCCCTCGGGCAGAGTGTCGGGGGCCTCCAGCCTTCTAGTTCACCATGGCTGACAGCCAGGAATGCGCAGATTCAGATTCCTCACCCCCTCGGGCTGCCAAGAGGACAGACTATTGGAGCTGGGAGATCCGCGGCATCTCTAGCATCGGAATCGTTGGGTGGGTGTCCGACTCCTCTCGGTTCTAGGCGCAAATGTTACGGGCATGGTGGAAATCGATATAAGTAAAGCTCCCCGCCCCCCCCCCCCAACCTGCGTTCACGCCGCTTCACAGCGACAGTGTGTGGCTGCTAAGTGCAAAAGCATTAACCCACTTGGCACCCCCCCCTCCGTACACGCCGCGTTGCGGCGTCCAGCTGACAACCCAAGCCCTGCTTTCCTTCATTGCAAATCCGGAAAGGAAGTCTTATACCCTTTAGTTCAGCAAAATTTTGTTGGCAACATTTTTTTTTTTAAGTGTTAATCATAAAAAAGAAATGTAGTAAATATCGACAAAATAAAATGTTCAAGAAAAAAGAGAAAAAAAAAGTAAGTCCACACTGCAGACCGAACCGGGGTCCGCTGCGTATGAGGCAGACACCTTGCCACTTAGCTACGCTACCGCTTCGGAAATTCGTTCTAACCATTCGTTTTATACGAGTTTCAAAACGTCGTGTGCATAGCAATTTCCAGTCAACGTGCACGCGCCCGTGCATATAATTTTACTCAATCAATGTATGCTCGAAGATCCGCCTGCCTCCAAGGGTGACGGACATGACGAGCGAACGGCACATTCAATGCCCATGTCCACATGCCCGAGGGCTCGAACCGTTGCGCTGACTGGGGTTTATTCAAGCCCTTCAGAGCTGTTCTTCAAGATGATTTGCTCAAAGTATCTCGGTAAGTGGCCAAAAACCACTGCAGAAAACACTGATGAGTAAGACTAGGCTGTCTTATCAAAACATTTTGTGGTCTTCGGACGAAGGCCGAGTGTTTCTTTTCTCGTGTTACTGTATCTAACTATTCTTTTATGTGCTTGCTTGAAAACCTGGTTGCGTCCCACCATTAGCTCTGAAGATAACTTTCCGCCCTATTTTGAAATTTTTTTCATCGCGATCGTGACTTTTTTTTGCGAGGTAGCATAGGAGGTGGTGTGATGATTGCAGTTGACAGGCGGTACAATTCAAAAAGACGCGAGGATTTAGAGGGGTCCCCTGAGTGTCTATCGGTTGAAATCGAGTGCACAAAGCGGGTGTTTTATTCGGATTGTTTTATCTCCCTCCTCAAACTACACCTCATCAGGTGTCTTGTAACATTGAGAATATAGTGAAAGAGTTGTATAGGTGCAACCTTTTGATAATGGGGGACTTTAACGCTCCAGGTATTAACTGGACAAATTTAAATGTTCACACTGACAACTTTTATTGCAAGCAGAAATGCAGCCGTCTAATGAACTTCGTATCGTTTTTAGATCTCAGACAGAACAATTATGCTCTTAAAGGGGTGCTCTGGCGATTTCTTTATGGTCCCCGATTGGCTTGAAATTTTGCTAAACTCGCCAAACAACATCGCCAAAATAGTATCCCAAATATTAGGTCAAAATAATTTTTTTTCACGAAGTTATAGAATTTACAATTTTGGTCCTCACCGTGTTTCTCAAACTGAAAGTCTCTACTGGCAACAACGAAAAAGTGACGTCAGTTAAAGTGCAGGGGTTCACTCTTTGGACTGTAGAATTTGTTCCCAACTGATTCGAAGCAGTTTCATGGTGTCAAATGAATGCTTTGGATGCTCGCTCCAATCCCCGTGCTCCAGCACGGAACAAATGATTGGCATATTCTATTTTTTAGACTGCTCGCTCGACTGGCAAGCCTGCCCGCCACTGACGTCACGGCACTGAAAAGTGCGCGTATGTTTGAATGTTGGTTTTTGCACCATTTTCATTTGCCGCATTGGCAATAACTATTATGAATTTCGTGATACTAAATAGCATACCGGAAAGGGTAAAGGCCGGGGAGTCAGGAAATATACCCTACTGAAAAAACCTGTACAAATGTATACCGGCCTATACCGGTTCACACCGGAGTCCTGTATTCTCATATCGGTAACCGGTAGCTCTGTACCGGAGACCTGTAACCACGTACTGGCGAAGCCGATACGCCGTACCGGCTGCCCATACCATGTACAGGCGGCCGGTAAACGCGTACGGGAACAGCCGGTAGGCCACACCGGTAACCGGTAACCACGTACCGGCGAAGCCGATACGCCGTATCGGTTGCCCATATCAAATACAGGCGGCGAGTGAACACGTACAGGCGAAGCCGGTACGCCACACTGGTGGGCCGTAATAACGTACCGGTGGCCAGTAATCGATGCGCGGCTAACAGCAACCACGTATCGGAGCGACCGGTAACGCCTTACCGGCGCCGCACTTAAACCGGCGGTCGGTAACCTTGTACAGGCTCTAGCGGTATACACAATAGACCGATCTCACTAAGCGTTGGGCGCATGCGTAAAGCCGCCATAACTTTAGTTCACAGGAGGCAGACGGCCGTGCACGCGAGGGCTCGTGCCTTCTCGTGCTCTGCACGCGAAGAGCTCCAGCGAGGTTGTCGCACGTGCCCAAAGACTAAAGTTCCCTCGCTGCATTGCGGCAGCGGTGGCGTAGTCAAACTGGCCGGTGAGATCGGTCTATTTAACGCGACCAGAAATTATCAGACCTCGACGGGAACGCGCTCACCGCGAAACTAAACTGTGATATTTTTTTCAATAAAGAATTTTAATCAGAAAATCACATATTAGGTCATTTCAGTTTAACAGTTTCAGCTATCAAACTCAACCATTTTATGACATGCATATTTAAAGTCATAAAATGAGAAAACCA